AATATTTACTGATGACGTTTCGAGCACAATTTATTGCTCATAATCATATCAAGGTAATCACACGACTTGCTAAATTCTTTTACATAGTTCCATTTTTTTTCACTTGATTTTCACTTGATTTGATTGGTAGTAATATTTTCCATATTTTGGGTATGAGTGATGAACCATTCCTATTGCATGTGTTGGGTGTAGATTTGATGAACAAGGATTCAGTAATCAACCTCTCTCTCCACCTACCTAGATTACTTTTTAGAATTTTAACCCTATCCCACCCTATTGTGTGGTTGTGTGCTGATGCATGCAGTGCAATGCAGTGCTGAGCTTTTTTCTAAATTACTTATCTTCTCTGGGTCAACAATTCTTATCTTAGCTAAATTCTTATGTTCTGACAATCTGATTACCCCTGACCTACTAGTTCGACCTATGTAGTTGACTTAACTTAGTCATTGCAGGGTATTTTGTAAATTATATTATTTTGTCTAATTGGGTCCTTTAACCTACAGAGTTTGTCCAACCTGAGTGAGTTTGTAGGTTTCAAAGCCACTCTGATTCCTGCTGTATTAAAAATCCTACGTAAGATCTCAGATGTCCCCTCCTTATATGGTATAACTGTAGATGACTTACATTCTCTCTTATTTATGTTATCATTACTAGTTTCACAATTATTTTTATCTTTCTTTTGGTGTTTTTCAATCTTCCTAATGAATTTTAAAGGATAGTTATTTAACCCCAACGCCTCTTCTATCTGTTTTATTTCGTCGTTTAGGTCTTTTTTTGTGCTACTTAGTGCCATTGCTCGGTTTGTTAAACACTTAACTAAGCCTGCCTTAACAGTTGAAGGATGAGATGAATTAAAGTCTAAATATCTATTAGAATGCGTTGGTTTTCTATAAACACTAGTGTGTAGTTTGCCTTCTTCTATTCGTTTGATTTTACAATCTAACATAGCTAATTCTCCTTGCTCATTTTCCGATTCAGATGTGAACTGTATTCCCTCTACTAGTGAGTTTATATGTGTCAAGAAGCTAGAGATATGTTCTGTTTTTAACACTGTGAAAGTGTCATCCACATATCTCCACCATATTACGTTTGGAGTAGGATCAAACGTATTAAGAGCCATATTTTTTTTCCAGCTATCCATGGAAAATAATACTACCAATCAAACCAAGTGAAAATCAAGTGAAAAACAATGGAACTATATAAATGAATTTAGGAAGTCAGGAGTAATCTGATTCTGCTTATTTGCAGGCACGATTATACGAAAAATTCACTAGCTAATTGAATACTATCACTTTTCCCTTGAACATAATAAAGTGAATTTCTCTCTCTCTTATCAGTAGCATAAATAGAAGACACAAAAAATAGAGTAAATTAGTTAACAGACTAGTGAGTGATATTGTTATCTAAAATATATACTGAAATAACACAGAGAGATAAATTAAGTGGTCATTATTCTTATTATTATTTCGGTAGTTGATTTCATGTTTTTTTCCGTTTTGAAAAGAAACGAGAATCGAATAACAGAAGCAGATATATCTAATATGTGCTTTATCTTTAACTTTTAGTCTAATTTCCGTACAGTGATTCATTATTTAGACTATTTTTTTGTATGAAATGTATTGATATCTATAAATCTATGAACATAACATTTTAAATAACTAGTTTCGCATATAAGGTCAACTTTCATTTACTTTCATTTCTGTGAAATTTATACCGTCTAAAAATAGTCGTGTGCTTTTTCAGACTGTTTTACTGACAACTGGTATAGTTTTCAAGAGTTGGTTTGTAGGGATTAGATTTGCTTTTTACGAGTTGATCACGGGTTGATATCAGTTAGAGAAGCATTGAAAACCAGACACAGAGAGTACTGCCAGACAGCTGTTTCCTCCATCCTAGTTTGGGAACCATCGGCAGTAAGCACACAACAACAGGGTTCGAACCCAGGACCTTCCGATTACAAGGCAAGCCGGCTCGTATACCATTCAGCCACCACTGGGACCCCATTCAATGGCCAGACATCCCATGAATTCTAACTTCTACCAATTCGTGATTTAGCGTGACCACCAACCAATGTCATAGGCGGGACATGCATCCTCACACTTGACTAGATGGATCTCACTGGTCACGACTTCTTACTAGAACTTCAGGAAAATCTGTCCTGTAGCAAGTCACTAGCGAGCATCATATTAATTTTCAATAGTTGGTTTTCAATGGTTCTTTTATATCTTCTTATGTCATCAATTTAAAATCCTCTTATCCGATGCCTGTTCACTGTCTGTTTCATGGGTAATTTTGGTAAGTGCCATCAAATAACTAGACATCAATACCTGATTCATCTACCCAATAAACAATTTAATCCGTCTGTTAAGACCAAACCCGACGCTTGTGGTGTGAACTCAAGAAACCCATGATCTAATCCTTACATACCAACTATTGAAAATTAATCTGATGCCCGCTGGTGATTTTTTACAGGAAAGAGTTTCCTGGATTTCTAGTGAAAAGTAGTGACCACTGAGGTCCGTCCAGCCAAGTGTGAGGATGGATGTCTCATCGATGACATTGGTTGGTGGTCGCGTTTAAATCACAAATTGGTAGAAGTAAGAATTCATGGACTGGCTGGCCATTGAATCTGGTCCCAGTGGTGGCTGAATGGTATACGAGCCGGCTTGCCTTGTAATCGGAAGGTCCTGGGTTCGAACCCTGTTGTTGTGTGCTTACTGCCGATGGTTCCCAAACTAGGATGGAGGAAACAGCTGTCTGGCAGTACTCCCTGTGGCTGGTTTTTAGTGGTTTTCTAACTGATATCAATCAGTGGTCAAACTGTTATAGTGAAGGATGAATTGCTTTCTACGAAATTATGCGTCGGTGACTCAGAGGTAGGACGCTGGCTAACTATGTACATATTCTGAAGCTCGATCGTTGACCGATGCACTCCTGAAGCCTCGCTGAGCTAGCAGTAAGGCCGGTTGAGAAGGAAGGTTGGGCGTGGTGAGGCTAACAGTTCTCAGCTGTAAAAATGAAACCACTGCCACCGATACTTCAGAGCTGAAGTTTGAAGTCCTATGTTCCACTCGGAGCGTAAAAGAACCAAAAAATCATTTGAGACTAGATGACTAATGTTATAATTTATTTTTTAATCTCGAAAGACCACAGGTGTATGACTTTGCTATCTAACGATGAAATTTCCGATTGTGGTGGACTTAGTCGTACGATAGAGTGTGCACGGGAAGTGAGAAGATGCACATACATTGGACTGAGAAAACGACTTTAGAAAGCATGAATTCTGTAGTTGATTTATGTCTGGTTACAATGAATGCTTGCTCGTTGAACATTCAGACACTACGACCCAACTCAGTAACCAGCCTACGGATTCTAACTTCTACTAACTCGTGATTTTAGCGCAAACACTTTCATCAACGAGTATTTATCCTCACTCTCTACCGGATGAATCCCATCGGTCACAACTCCTCATCAGAACTCTTGGCAACTCCATCCCGTAGCCAGTCACTAGTGAGCATCAGACTAATTTGCAAGAGTTAGTTGGTAAATCTTTCCTGTGTCAATGTGTATGTTGACTGCTGATTTAGCTGAATACCAGGCTTCTAGAAATTCCCGGCATTTTCAGTGTTATCCTATCTAAGATTTGGATACTGTCTCAGTCAAATTGGTGTCCGTGCATGCAATGATATTAGGGGATGCATATCATCTATTTTGATGACCAGTTTATGTTCATAGATGCGACCACGAGGACGGCGTCTACTGCTTATCAGAGCACATTGCTAATTAACTGAGTTCTTATGATTGTCGTCCTGTTGTCTGTACTTACAAGTGAGATAGCCTGCTGATTTATTGAGTAATTAAGTAAACTAAGTTTAGTAAGGGCTGATACAGTGGGGCTAACCTATTGCACTACCAGTGTCTAACAGACGAATTATATATTATCTTTGTGACGATGTGTGCAACTCAGTATCTCAGTTTACAATTGTACATATTCAGTAGACATTAAGGATTTTTCTGGTCACTAAAGTTATCCATTCACACCAACTGGAAGATACGCTAGTAAAAGGCAACAAGTTAGCAGAAGAAATATCAAAGATCGGATAAAAATAGGTGAACATAGAGAAAACAGAGGTGACGAAGACTCCTGGCCAACAGCAACAGCAACAACAACAGACAACAATCAGCCAACATAAATGGGAGGAATCTGAAAGAAGCAACCTCTTATACCCACCTATTGACCTGAGAAGCATCGTTTCAACTACAGGCGGACGGGACTGAAGAGAATGTCAAGGCGAGGGTCGGGAAAGCAAGGGAAGCTTTCATTTCTCTCAAGTTTATGTGGAGATCAACAGCACTCCGCGTGAAAAATAAGATGTGGATTTTCAACTTCAATATGAAGTCAATGCTACTATACGGATCAGAGACTTGGTGCCGCGTCATAAAGAACACTTCGAACAAACTACACACCTTCATCAACAGTTATCTTTGCTCAATACTCAAGATCAGATGGCCGACTAGAAAAGATCGGCAGCATGGATCTCCGGCAAAGTGTCAACTAGGAACCAAGTGTGCCACAAATATGCAGGAAGAAATAGAGGTGGAGTGGTCATACTCTGAGAAGGCCATCAAGTGACAGCACACATCAGGTCATCGCTCGAGTGGAACCCGAGTGGGTAGCGGCGAGGTGTTCGCTTGTGGGAGGGTGAGATGGAGGAGTTGGTGTGAAAAGGAGATGAAAGCATGTGGGCAGACGTGGAGACAGGTGAAAACATTGTCGGAGAACAGAAGAGAATGGAGACATGTGGCTGAAACCCAATGTTACTCTATGAATTGAAGGAAATAATAATAATATAATATTAAAGTTATCCATTACTTCACAGAGAACTCAGTGGTTTGAATGGTTCCCTAACTTCAAAAAGAAACTAGAAATTTTAAATATTGGACATTTTAATCTGTGTATTTTAATTTTGAACAAAATAAGTAAAAGTTAGATCAGAAGACTAAGCATTGAGTGTAATCAATGCCGGCTTCGATAGATAGCTGTTCTCATCAAGCGATTGGATGTGTAGTGTCACTGGATATCTGACATGTTCTGATAAATGAATAATTGACTTTGTAACATGTGCACTTGGTATGCGCTTGATTTCCATACCGTTTATTGATATCTGTGTAAAAAATAGTTAAAAGAAATAGCCAGGTTAGCTGCTGAACTTTAGACATTATCAAAGGAAAAATGGTTACATCTTAACTATAGCGACCCAGAGAAATGACAAAAGTAGTCGAATGTAATGACGTCAATCATCTAATCAGACCCACCCTTAGTAAATAATGCAATTTAAAGAACTCCTTTATATACATAAATGTTAGCGTTCAAAAATAGTTATATGGGGTAACTTTCTCGTATGTGTCCCAACAAAAGCTTCTAGTTCCCTGTTGGAGTATTCAGTGATAGTCCAAACCCATTTCTGTACATAAATTCATCCAGATAACTGAGTGTCATACTGTTTCGTGATCCATTTACTGCTCTACAGCACCCATAAACTTAAAAAAGGAACGACATATCTTCTCGGAGAGATTTTCTGTAACGACAAGCTGGACATATGTTCACCTATCCGTCAACTATGGCTGCATACCTTCGTAAAGGCATTACTCCCTCCTCCGCATCTACAAACTTCGCATAAGTCTCTTGTCCCTATAATACTGAAACATTACTCCTTGATGAAATTTGCGACGTATTTTATGTAGTGCATCTATAACGTTGCGGTTTTAGTATGGGTTCCTCTGATTAGTTGAGGAAGATCATTACGTCCGTTTACTTGAGCTCTTCATCTGGGTGGTTAATATTTAGGGTTATCCACCCACCCACTCCGCCGCCTTTACCGGGCTTACTGCCGGCTAAGTGAGGTTTAGGAGTGAGTTGGCCAGGGATCAAACACTGCACCATATGAGGCGTGGTTGGCGATTATTCCACCACTGAACACCCGCCGACGAACTCGAAACGTTCAATTCCCTTTAATGATTTATGCACATTCGGGTTCCAAGTAGAAAACAGGGCTTTAACAACACATCTTTACTTCCTTATATTTTCTGCCATCCTCTTCAGATGGATCCACGATTGTCCATAATCTCTTATCTCCTCCTCTCCAGACGATCTCCTCCATGTCAACCTTGCATCGACGACCCACTCATTGCTTCCCTCTCTGACTCCATTAGAGCGTTGGTCTGTCATTCTACGGTTTCTTCAATAAATGCCCAATCCACCTCCACTTTCCACTACATATTTGCTGAGCGATCGGTTCTTGGTTGGTTTGTTGCCAGTCAGCCAGCCATCTGATCTTCAGTATGGATCCAGCGAAGGTGGCAGCTGTTGACGAAAGTCTTCAGTGGATTGTTGGAAATCCTTTTCGTGATACACGTACAGTGCAAGTTTCTGACCGGCATAAAAGAACCAACTGACTTTACATTTGTTTTGAAAATCCATTTAATTGCATATCACGCTTTTTTGTAACCCATTCACAGCTCTAATTTACCCATGAACTTAAAAAGGAACAATATATCTTCCCGGAAAAGTTTCTTATAACGACAGCCTAGATATCTACACACAAATCCATCAAAAGCAGTTGCATACTTCTGTTAAAATATTACTTCTCTGCATCTACAGGCTTCCCATAGGAGTGTTATCCCGACGATACTCAAACACCGCCTCTTGATGGAATTTATAAGGCAGTTCACGCACTGCATCTATATTATGGCGTTTTTATTATGGCCTCATTTGATTGGTTCGTCAAGGTCATAACTTCTGTTTGCTTGGGTCCCTTGTTTGTGTTACTACAGGTTAGAATTACGGGACATCTATGCAAGCAAAATCAGCCATTGAACATACCCAAAATGGTGAATGCCTGATACCGTAGTATTTTTCTTGACCATATGCACTTGAATTCAGACCAGTTACCGCTTCAATTTCATATCATACTTTGCGGTGGTGCAAGCTATTCATCTGAAAATATACCGGGTTCACTGACAAGGCAGTAGCTCAAATATCACAATTTAAAAGAGTTTCCGGCAAACATATACCTATAGCTTAGTATCTGTTGATATTGTCGGTCACTTCTGTAAATGGATATTCTTAACACTGGTTAGAAAAAAAGGGTAGTTTGTCCTACTTTAATACTTGCTGACAAGCTGATGCAGAAGGAATGCACTTCAAGAACACATGAGTTAGCAAAGAGATCTCTGCTTCCGTAACTTTATTTCAAAGATGGACAGTTATTTAGGAGGTTTATATATGCGATATAAACTGATAACAAAGGCCAAAGGTTATTGGTAACAAAGTAAATCAAGGTGAATGAGTAATAATTGTGTTTGAAAACTTAAGATTAGTCTTACGTCATCAAGAGGGTTGAGTGGTGAACAATCGTTCAGAAATGGTTGATATGGGACAATAGAACAAGGGATTGGAAATGAACTGAGACAAACATAAAGCGGACCGCATAAAGCTTATTATACAGTTATTCAGAAAGACAAGGTAGCAAAGTGGTACTGAAATAGGCTGACTGAAATGTTTCTGGCCACTAAGTTCAAGTTTCATCTTAAGGATTGCGAAGGCTTAAGCTGCATAAAGAAGATATAGGCGAAATCGTTTCAAACGGCTTGGCCATAGTTTATAAAGATGACTCTGAAAGAAGTCTCTGCTGATGCACACTTTATAAAACACTGTGTAGGGGTAGGTAATTCCCCAGAACTATTGGCCACAGCATTCATCACTGAACATTGGATGTTGACCCTGTCTAAGTCAACTTGTTTAGCTGAAGACTTCCGGTCAAGCATCCACCTCATTTAGTACGCTGTCGTGTCACATTCTTTCGTTTGTGCATGATCCCTAGCTATTTGAACAATCATCTCTCACACTGATTTGGTCCCGAAATACAACTCGTAATCTCGACGATCAATTCTGGTGTTTTGCTTTGCCTTTGGTCTACACGAAACTCATACTATAGAAGTTGTGGGTATTAGATCTTGAGTAGTTAGTATACTTCGTACTATTCGTGAACGTCAATACATTCAGCCCCTAAAACTGTATTTTTAACTCCTCTTTCCCTACATCCAGTACCCAATTAGGCCCTAATCTTTTATCACTGTCATTTTTTCTGATGATGGTACCACTTTCAAGAGAATTCTAGTTTCCAATATTTCAGGCAGAATTTTATTAATAATAATAATAATAATTTGCTTTATTCCAAAACAGTACTTGTGATACAGAATGGAATTCTCAGCATTTTTTACTACAGTATTGCATCCAATTAGTACATTGTCAATAAGTAGAATTCTACATAGATTGAGGAAACCACAGTTCATTATTGCAACAATACATTGGCATGTTCAGTAGCAAAGGTAAAGCTTAAACAGTGTTTGAAGGTGTTAGAAAAGTGGGAGCTGTCTTATTAACTGGCGTAAGCGAGAGAAAGAGACAAAGCAGCACATAACGGAAAAAAAAGTACATTCTCGTATTACTTAATTTGTTCTCCTGTCTGTATGATTGTGTTTCATGGTACCGTACCAGTGAAGAAAATGATTTAAAGATGACTGTTACTAACACATTGTGAAACACGTAGCTTGTAGCTCCACTGACCGCTTATCTGTCTGCATCTATAAGATTTTGTTGATTTTCTTATGTCTGTCTCGTCGACAGTGAATTCAAAATATCCCGATATCTGGACTACACGTCTTTCTACAGTCTAGAAATTGTTTATCAAATTGCAGACGGTTTTTAGATCTCTTATTGCGATAGTGAATACTACTTGGCTTATACAGTACGTCGGAGTAATTGACGTGTTTACGTATAGAGTGTTAAATTCCTATTTTCTTTTGAAACAATTAATTCCCTATATGAATTTAGACAAAGTAAAAGGAAGACGTAATCTGTCTGAATCGTGTGTGTGTAATGTGCATTTGCGTAACACATTTCGAGCAATCTGATCACAGACAGACTTGTCATAGGAATGAATATATATTTGAAATTATTAAGGAGTTGAGAGGTGAAAAAATGGACTTATATCAAGTTAAAAGGACTTACTAAAGGTCAAAATAACAATGACGACAACTAAACCAAATAAAAGAGGTAATAGTACATCTACCCTGGCTGGTATCAAAACAAAATTTACCAAGGAAGGTTTAGTGTGATAATGAATTGTTGCTTTGAACGCATAAAGGTGGTTTAAACTTTCTAATTGCCGACTAGGGCTTCCACAAACTGTAGAATTGGTTTAAACATCAATTTTATGTTCTGTCTCTATAATATGTTTCGCAATAAAGGACCTAGGTCGCCTGTTCTCACCATTAATGGGTTCTGAAGATTCTATCTGCTTTTGGGGCCATTTAAAAGTATGCTCTGAAGCCAGCCCTTACTTGCAGAGATCGATGAGTCCCCCGTGTGTCCACACGTACATTCAAATTGGTAAATACAGTGGGATGTGACATCATTTTTCGCAACGTTCAAAGGACTTAGGTGGATATATTGGCTTCAAACTCTCAATTATTATGATATTAGCTGCATAAAAGGTCATTGTAACCACAGTGTTCAATATTTGTCTAGTTATCAAGCTGCTATGATGCTCCATATAGGGTAGCTTGATGTACACGTCTTTCTTAGTGGCGAGTTTGAAAAATGGTTCTTGGTGTTCCGCTGACTACTTTATGTCTCCTGATGAACTTGTCTGGATAATTATTATCAACCAGAGCTTGTATCACCTTTCTTTCTTCTTCATCAAGTGCATACTCGTTGGATTCTACTGAAGAGGCACCTTACTAAGGCTCTTTTGTACGGAACAGGGCAGAAGCTATGGCAATTAAGATACTGTCCTGTCCAGGTAGGTTTTCTATAAATAGATCGTTTTATTGACCCATCAAGCCATCGACTAAGTAATAACTGCAGGAAAGATAAACAGTTATCTTCCTTTCTTACAGACGTAAGTGATATGCTATTCTGAACTTTATTCATTCGATTTAAAATTGAGGTGACAGAACAAGGTTTGTCATTTATGATTACTATATCATCTACGTACCTTCTTTAAAGTGCCACATTTTCGATTAAATCCTCCGATAAATTCTCAATGTATGATATATAGATATCTGCTAAAAAGGGGCCCTAATGCTTCGTATCCTAAAGTTTGTGGAAGCCCTAGCTGGCGTTTAGGAAGTTTAAACCACCTTTGTGCAATCAAAGCAACAATTCATCATCACACTAAACCTTCCTTGGTAAACTTTGTTTTGATAACAGCCAGGGTAGATGTACTATTACCTCTGTTATCTGGTTTAGTGATCGTCATTGTTATTTTGACCTTCAATATGTCTTTTAAAATTGACCTAAGTCTATTTTATTCATCTTTTAACTCCTTATTAATTTAATATATATTCTTCCCTATGACAAGTCCATGTGTGATCAGATTGTTCGAAATGTGTTGCATAAATGCACATTACACAATTCAGACAAATTAAATCTTCTCGTGGCTTTGTCTTATTTTCTTGGCAAAATTACGAATAGTTCAGAGACAGACGATTCTCTAGGAGTCTTTGTTTCGTAAGGCACAAAATTATGTAACTAAAGGGTACTCAAGATGTAATTTCATCTCTTTAATAACCACTTAACATACTGTATGTGTAGAGGTTGAATATTATACAATTCTCACAGCGTTATCAAGGAACGTAAGGCAGCTTTTATTGGCTGAAGGATTGTATCATGAGCTGGCATCAGTTAGTCGGCCATTGGAAAACCAGATGGCAGCACTGGACAGCTGTCTCTTCCGTCCTAGTTTGGGACTCTTCAGCAATACGCACCCACAGCCACGGTTCGAGTCAAGGACCTTCTGTTTACAAGCCTAGCAAGCTGGTAGACCATTAAGCCACGGAAACCCAATCCAGTGGCCGGCCAATTCATGACATAGCGTGACCACTTCGCAATGTCTTCTTCGATGAGTAACTGTCCTCACCTTCAACCTATTGTACCCTACTGGTCACGGCTTCCCACTAGAACCTCAGGTGAGTGCGTACTGATAAAGAGTCCCAAACTAGGGTGAAACAGCTGTCCATTTGGTTTTCCAATAGTCCTCTAACTGATATCAGCTCGTGATGAAATGCTCCAACCAATCAAACTAAACCGCCAAGAAAACCATTACTTGAAAATAAGTCAGCTTTTGTTATGTTACCATAGAGTTAGCTTATATCACTTGATTACGTTGCAAACTACTTTAATCTCAGCAAGTAAATGATTAATCAACTTACTTACCACATATCCAACAATTGAAGTAACTGTAGTTTGGTCTGAGGCCACAGATTCAGGTTTACTCCATGACACTAACCATGTATTATCCAGTGTAACCAAGACTGCATCAGGATTTAATGGTCCATGAATATCTTCTGTGTTGATAACTGATGCCATGGTATTCAATGAGAGTGGTTCACTAGTTTCAGTATACTGCAAAGTGAAAAATAGCAGCAGTAGTAGGCATTATTCGATTTTTTTAAATTAATTTATACAAATCGTTAAACTAGGCTTCCATGTTACCATATGGTAAAATATTGAAATGGTATAAAATAGCAGCTGGTGTAATATTTCTGTCAAAATTCTAAAATGTTTAGTGTAGCGTGAAATTGTCTCACTGGACAAAGATGAACAAAGATTGCACAGTAAATAGAGAAGGGTAATATGAAGATTAAATGACCAGAAAGAATAAGCAAGAAGAAACTATGGAAACAAACCAACAGGCAAGAGCCGATCGCTCAACAAATATTTAGGAGAATGTGGAGATGGGTCAGGCATACATTGAGGAGGCCGTCAAATGACATTGCATGCAATGCAGGCCAGTGCTTGAGTAGAATCTCAATGGGAAGCGATGAATGGGTCGTCAATGCGAGGGTGACATGGAGGAGGTCATGTGAAGAGGAGATGAAAACGTGTGGGCAGACTTGGAGCGAGGTGAAGACTCTAGCAGAGAACCGAACGCAATGGAGACGGACGACTGAAGCCCTATGTTCCTCTAGGAATTAAAGCAAACAATAATAATAATAATAAATGATAATTGTTATCGTATTGAAAATAACGGACAAACTTTTGCAAATTAACGGGTGTTTCTACCGCAGATTCTAGATTCGACTGAGTGTAGGACGAAGTGCAACTGCACCATTAGGGATAAAGTACAACAGCTCATAAGGAATATAATTATTCACCTTATCATGTTATCATTACAATGCACTATGACATCGCTATATTACCACATTAAAATTTTGTATATCTTCTAAATTATATTACATTATTATTATTTCCTTGGATTATCAGTAGAGTATAGGTCTTCAGCGAATCATTCACATTTCACTATGTTTAAGATATTCTTTCGTAGCTGGCTCTACGACTGCTCATAAGCTTTCATCACCCACTCACTCGATCTCCTCCATGTTACCCTCAGATGCTCGACTTGTCTTGTCATATTCGGGTTCCAGTCGACGGTCAACCTGGCACCTGATGTCACTTAATGGTGTGCTTAGCCTGTGTCCAATCCATCTCCACTATCTTTTGTGTATTTGTTGGCAACAGGTTCTCCGTTGTTTTATTCTCAGAGTTCCTTATTGCTAATTCTCTGTGGCCTTCTGATATCCAGCATCCAGCAAAGAGAACTGTTGACACGATATTCTAGATACGCATGTGCGTGTGATTGGACAATAGTAACTAGTGTACTGTGTCTATTCTATGTTTGGTGCAGACTGGATTCTGCCAGTGAAGTTTGCAATGTGGTCACCATGCCAGGTGGCTCACCATCATGGTGCACTGTGAATTATCGATATTAGATGGTTGGAGGCAATCGACAGGAAGACTTGCTTGGACCTAGGTTTCGTGCTAGTCAGCACTCACCAGTCAGAAGGACTTATCTGTAACCTTGAAGGATTTCATGTCCCTTCTGAGAGTCGCATCTGCGTCACCCAGTGAGTGCTGCTGTCAGAGCCGTTACCACTGAGCTATTCGGCCTCGCTATTAACCTCCTGTAGAATTGTACTGGATACTTTTGATCAACTCCTACCATCTAATATCAGCAATTCAAAAGTGCACCGTGACGACAAGCCACTTAGAATAGTGGCCACATTGCAAACCTGACTGACAGAATTCACTCTGCTCCAAAGATACGACCAGAAACATTACACTATTTAATGACTAGTGTCCAATCAAAAATATCGAATATAGCCCTGCAGGAGGTCAATCGTGATCCCGAATAGCTCAGTGGCAACATCTCCGGCTGCAGAGATCAGCGGATGTCGCCGGTTCGACTCCCAGAAGGGACATGAGTTTCTTCAAGGTTGCTAGTACGCCTTGCCGACGAGTTTCATCTAGCGCGAAACCTACACCCAAACAGGGCTTCCTGTCGATTGCCTCCAGCCATCTAATATCAAAGCATGGACATATATACATAAATATACTACGATAGAAACTATGGGATTCTCTACTTAAAATGTATTTTAGATGTTTAAGTCATTCTACGTTCTCCACTGATTTATTGCATTAGACCGAAATGCACTTGCTCACAACTGACAAGTCCTAAATGGGATGAAACGCGTATCTTGAATTCCACTGCCAGCTGATGTGAACCGAGTAACACCATATATCTCTGACGTTTAATGTTGCAGTAAATAAAGTTGATAGAACATCTTATCTTAGCTACATTATCAAATAATCCATTTATTCTTTAAAAATGATTAGAAAAGACCAAGTGAAATAACCCGATGAGTTTCCATTAACTTAGCAATGAGTAATACTTATTGAGACGTCTATAAAACACAAAATAATGGAGCAAAGAATATCCCTTTTGATAATTCCCTCTTCTGAATCTATATTTATATACATATGTTTATATACATAGAATATTCTAGAATAGTAGTCAATAACAATATTAGTGTTTTTTAAATAATATCGATTTGTTAAATAAGATCAATGGAATTACAGTTCATTAAAGATGCTTAAATAATAATAATAATAAAGATATAATAGCAAATAGAAATTTCTAAAACAACAAATTGAGGATCATTCAAACCTAGATGGCCAAGGTAAGGACAATGACTGGACCAACTAGCTTCTTTTGGACGCACAAATTAGGCTTCCTAATGTGGATCCCAACAGCCAGCCTCATTAATATTTAGTAAACGAACTGTTAAGGCGAAGTTAAGATTTGTTGGTATGCGGTAAATGACTTTGAAAACCGCCTCGTTGACATCAATCTTGTGTTCTGTATCCACATGATGAGATAGAATAGCGCCACGAACAGATTTTGTTTGTCCTTTACTTAACCAACAATGCAGGTGGTATTCGGAAATCTGACGAGAAATATGCCTAATTGTACGGGCTATGCAACTGGCTCCACAGGAGCGGTTAAATTGGTCAACAGCTTACGATACTACAGGTATAAAATGAACCTCTATAGGTGGAGCATGGTTCGAACGCACAACCAACCTTTGATAACCAAGCTTTTAGACCAACGAATCACAGCTGTGGACTGAATACTCAACAAATCAATGGAAATCTGTGTCATTATTTATTCGTCGAAATGAGTATCATTGCAAATTAAGCTATAATTAATCAATAAATGCCATATACTTTGAATTTTACCAACAAAAATTTATTACTTTATCGCTAAATGTCTTTAAATTCATATATTCTGATTCCATTTTCTGATTCGCACTACCATTTGGAAGTGGCATTTGTTTCCGGTGATACACTAGTTGTTGTTGTTGTTGTTGATGTCGTGGTGGTGGTGATGGTTCTTCTATTTTTGGTGTTAGTGCTGGCGCTGGTGTAGTTGGTTCTTGATGAATTCTCTGCTTCTCTTCCACATGACGTTTGCTATATTGTTCCGGATGACTTTGTGGCTGTCGTGTTTGATGCTGATCTGACTGATTTCTCATAGCATTCATTTTCTCATTGTTCTCATTATATTTGGATAACATTAATTGTTCACTTAGATAGAAAACTAGTGTTTTCGCTTCAGCCAACTGTATATTTCCGTTTTATGAAAAGAAAAAACGGTTTGTTTAGTTTCACTTACATTAAAAGTAGAATTTAGATTAGTAAACAATTATTAAACTCCGCAATGCATAAAAATAAACAAAACTATCAAGGTACTGGTTTGTAGGGATTTGATTTGATTGGTTACAGGACTTCATCATGAGCTCACATCGGTTAGAGGACCATTCGAAAACCAACAGGGAGTACTCTTCAGTAGTACGCACCCACGGGGTTCAAACCTAGGACCTTCTGGTTACAAGGCCAGTCAGTAGACTATTAAGCCACTGGGACCCGATCCAGTAGCCAGTTCATGAATTCCAACTTCTGCCAGTTCACTACATAGCTCGACCACTAGCTAATGTCCTCACGTCCTACCGTGATGGGTGCGTACTGACGAAGAGTCCTAAACTAGGCTGATGAAACAGCTGTCCGGTCCTCTTAGCTGGTTTCTCAATGGTCCTCTAACGGATGTCAGCTCATGATGAAATCCTGTAACCACACATCACTACTTTTCTGAAAGTGTTAGTAATAATAATGACTCGGGAATGTCAGCGGTAAGGGATATATTCAAGAATTACCTTACCTATCGTACAAAGAAGGGAAACTAATAGCATATTCTTGAGTAAAATATCTAATATTTATGATAAAAAGATGAACTATTCATAGGAGAAACATTCAGAGCTCTTTATTGTTAAGTATATGAGGCGTAAATAACTACACAAGCAAGTACGTGTGAAGGTAAGTCACTGAGTGAAACTAATCAGCATTCATGCAATTACGGAACTTTTTTTCAGAGGTCGCTGTTTTGTAGAATGAGGAGCTTATATCTCTTTTAAATTTTACACTCAGAACCTTCTACGTTAGTCGAGAATGGTGTTTCCCCTTTTCCTGGTAAATTTCACATAACTACTGAGTAAGGATAGGTTACGTTGAATTTTATTCACTGCGAACAAATGGAGTGGATCGCTAGCTATCACTTAGCATTGAACTCTTACAATTGATACATAACGTGTGGCAAAAAGAGAAGCAACTGTGCTGCGTAAGAATTCGTTTTAACTGAACAGTAAGACTGATATTTAGTTTTTATTTTATTCCTTTACATTCCTAGTGGAACATACGGCTTCAGGCTAGAGCTCTGATGTTTCGGTAGCAGCGGTTTTATTTCTACGGGGTGGATTTGCTAGCGTCACGCCTAACCTTCCCTCTTCATCAGCCTTACTACCGACTTAGCGAGGTTTAAAACTGTGAGTCGACCTGGAATCGGACCCCGGACGATATGCGTGGTTGACGAGAGTTCCACCACTGAACCACCGACGTACAAGAATGATATATTTCACTGATGAACAGTGAACACTATTGCATTCATGAAAAATAAGATCGAAAACACTGTCATTCATACTTATTTACACAGTTCTGTAAGTAAAACGTATATCTTTACCATGATTCAGCCTAATCAACACACATTTCTTCACTTATGTATTAGGCGGTCAAATTTTTTTTTCCTTCACGTTCCCCAGTGGTACATAGGGCTTCAAGCTATTGGCTTTAAGTTTCTGAAGCATTTGTGTTTATTTTACAGGATGGGGTTGCTAGCCTCATGCCCAACCTTTCCTCTTCACCAGCATTATTTCTGGCTTAGTGAGGTAAAGGAGTGCGTCCGTGGCCGGGGATCGAACCCCGGACCATGTTCATGGTCGACGAGCGTCCTAACCGCTATGCCACCTACGCACCGACGGCGGTCAAACGGAACCGGTAAACCTCCAAGGAGATTTTAAGTTGCTTACAAAAGTTGGCAAGTACTTTCCAGTACCGATGCTGATATCCACCGAATATGTAGTGAGTACACACTACTGTGATTGAATCTTCTATAGAAATAACAAATGAAATTCTAAAATTCTAAATCATACTTACATCTTTCTGTTGTTCTAGAATAATATTCTCTTTCTCTAGATTCTTGTACTTTATATAATTTTCGATATCCATGTCTATTGTATCTGTGCTGACAGAATTTATCCTACTGAGGGCAACAGGTCTAACACTTGAGATAAGAAAAGAAACAAGGTTAAAGTGAAACACTATATTACATCAAAATCTGTTAATTTTACAGTGCATTTGATTATAAGTGACCAGTGAAATATATTGTAGGATAATTAAGAGATGAAGCTTACTTATATAGTGTTAATAATACTGTACGATGTAGCGGTGGGTTCCCAGGTGATGTTCACATTCAACCGGTAGTAGTTACATAACAGTTACTTTTGAGCTACCTCAATGAATCATTTTGAGGTACAGAGACAGTAATTTGTGGCTGGCGCATAGACAAAAACGTCAAGGCTTGGTTGAAGTCATTAGAAAGTCACTGGCTCTAGTGCCTTATGGTATAGGGTGTCGAAAAATGCTGTTACTACAAATAGATACAACTTAGTTTGTTAATTGGCTCTCTGTCTGGTTCAAACCAGACACACTGGTGAATTCAAATTACATAAATAACAAGTGCTAAAGGCTTGACTTTTTTGATGTATCCGAGGCAGATATATAGACCACGAATTATTCCAGGTGTTCAAGAGTTTCTCTGTAGGGATTTGATAAGTTTCAAGTTTGCCCACGGATTGATGTCAGCTAGTGAACCGTTGAAAACCAGCCCGGAGTAGTGAATGGCTGTTTCCTTGGTCCTAGTTTGGAACTCGTGGGCAGTGCGAACCTTCCGCAGGGGTTCCAACCAAGATTCTTGGGGTCACATGTGAAGCTTGCAGACCCTTCAGCCACTGGGACACTACTCAATGGCCAGAACATGAATTCTAACTTCTAACAATTCTAGCATTAGTCAGCATCACTGGTGGCCAGTATTTGTCCTCACCCACGACCGGATGGACCCGACTGCTCACGACTTCCCATTAGGACTCTAGGCAACTTCATCTTTTAGTCATTCACTAGGGTGCATCATTCTAAGTTAACTTACCTGATTCTCAATGGATTTATTCGTCTAATCCTGCCACAGAAACTTTAATTCTGTGAAATACATGACGGTTTAAAGTGAATTCATTTCAAGCCTTGAGTAAACTGGTGTTCTTATACGCGCATGATCTTTTGCGTTTTAGAACCACCTTAGAGACACGAGTGACATAGAAATTTCCAGATACATATTTGCTACGGTCATACATTGTAAAAATGCTTGAAAATGACTCCTTAGTGACTTATAGTTCAATGAGTGGTAAGGTGACAGTAGCTAACACAGCGACGGAAATCTTTAGGTAAAGATGAACTTTCATCACGTTCGTTTATACTTCATCATGAAAATCTGTCGGAGGGATACCTCAGTGACTTCCATCTTTGTTTAGATCTCTTACGTTCTGAAAGATCACATTTTATCATCTGAGATTCCTGAGTATGAAGGTTTCGACAAGTGCAACTATTCTGAAAATTACGAACAACATAATCCTACTTGATCTGCACTTCCTAGTGTATATTCAGCTGTTATACAAAGTACGAATCTTCACGTCAATGCAAAAAGGAAAACTCAACCAGCAAATGATTCCCTTTTTCAAATGATGAGTAGTCTTCGGAGTTTTGTGCCCATTATTCCCGAAGTATAAACAATATTGTTCAGTAACTGAAACCATCTGCATTTTCATACAAAGCCAGATGAATATTTCTAGGGGCTACCACTTTGTGCGAATTAATTCAAAAGTGATACCATTAGGTTTTTATTAAATTTCATACAAGTAACATCAACCGCGTTTGCATAGCGGTTAGGACGCTCGCCAACCACACACATGATCCGGGGTTTGATCCCCGGCCGACTCACTACTTTACCTCGCTAAGCCAGAAATAATAATGCTGGTGAAGAGGAAAGGTTGGTCATGAGGCTAGCAACCCCATCCTGTAAAATTAAAATACTGCTACAGAAACTTCAAGCCACTAGCTTGAAGCCCTATGTTCCACTGGGGAACGTGAAGGAAAACAAAAACACCAACCGGTGATGATTAAGACTCACTGAAGATTCCCTGCATACTCGAGTGATAACCAAAATTGATGGGAAAGAAAGTTTTTAGAATGTGTGTAACCAAAGCCACACTATCTCCTGATTCTAAAAAATATTTTGATTCATATAAGTATACAACTTGGGCACTGTGGTAGAGTATAACTCCATAATGGATAAGATTTTATTTTGATAAATCACACAGTGTTACACAGTAATATTAACTGATGACGTTTCGAGCACAAATTATTGCTCATAATCATATCAACTTACTCACACAACTTCTTTCCTGCATTTATATACATGTGTGGAATCGATTGGATATTGGAACAAAAATCAATATGCGGTAATGTACATTCAGAAATAATAGTACGAGTGTTATTAATCCATTTCAATTAGATGGGAAATAAGACGAGTATTTTTATAGTCATAATCAGTTAATTGTTGTTATGATGTGCTTGAATGGAAATAGAAATTTAAGATTATTCATTATCCTCTTCTGATTTGACCGACGGTAATAATATCTTCCATATCTCTGGTATTTGCGTTGAGTCATTTCTGTTGCATGTGTTGGGTGTAGACTCGATAAATAAGGATTCCGTAATCAACCTCTCTCTCCACCTACCTAGATTACTTTTAGAATTTTAACCCCATCCCACCCTATTGTGTGGTTGTTTGTTAATGCGTGAAGTGCAATAGCTGAGCTTTTTTCTAAATTACTTATCTTTTCAGGGTCAATCATTCTTACCTTAGCTTAAATTCTTATGTTCTGATAATCTGACTACCCCCAAGCTACTAGTTTGACCTATGTAGTTGACCTCACTCACAGTCATTGCAAGGTATTTTGTAAATTATATTATTTTTTTAATTGGGTCCAACGGGTCCTTCAACCTACAAAGTTTGTCTCTGAGTGAGTTTGTAGGTTTGAATGCCACCGCCCTAATTCCTGCTTTATTGAGGATCCTACGTAAGGCCTCAGATGTCCCCTCCTTATGTGGTATAACATTAGAAGACTTATATTCTCTCTTATTTATGTTATTATGTTATGTTATATTTTGATTCAGTTATAAATATAATAATTATTGCAGTTTAGTTAAATCTTGATTTCTAGTTGGAATGGAATTATGTTACAGAAACTAGATAACAGAATCGTGTTCTTAATTTTGTATCTACCATATGTTGAAATCACCTTTTCTTACCACAGACATGCAGCTGTTCATACTGTACCAGACAATGGAATGAAAGTAAAGATCCCTTATTTTATGCGGTTTAATATACTTAGCTGTATGTAATATACCTTTCCGTCTTCACTGAATCGAAGTTCTTAAGAGAGAATATTAAACCACACCTCTCCTAGACGCATACAGACCTTACTTAATACCACAAAAACCAGTCGACTAATTCATAAGGCAAATTTAAACGATTTGACAGACTCTTCTCTTAGTCTAAGATAATCTGCGAACAGGTCTATAAATCCTACTTGATGCAATAAAAATATTTCAGGAATTCAGAGGTTGTTCAAGATAAATTTAAACTGTGAGAGATTCAAAAGGTTGATGTTCACATAACAGATGTTTTCTGTAGGATTAGAAAACTGGAATTTAATAACCTCAGATTTTGCTTTTCTGTACATATTAGATAAAGTTTTCACTGAATAAAAATGGAAAATCAAGTATTATGAAACTGACAGTTTCAATACACTGCTAAAACAGTATTGCAGTCTGGCATGTTTCATTTGGTGTGGACTGAATTCTATCAGTCACGCTTGCAGTGTGGCCACCATTCTAGGCGGCCATTCATCATGGTGCACTGTAAACTGCTATTATTAGATGTTTGGAGGCAATCAGCCATACGAAGACTTGGACATAGGTTTCGTGCTTGTCGGCACTCACCAGTCAGCAAGCCATATATGAAATCTTGAAGGAACTAATGTCCCTTCTATGGTTCAAATCGGGGTCACCCAATGATAGAGACAGTGACGTTACCAATGAGCACACTGAATTCTATCGGTGTGCAACAAATGGAGGACTAGACGCGTGAAGTCAATTAATAACTAGTATCCAATCGAAATATCCATTACGATTATACAGGAGGTCGATTGGAGGTCCGGATAGCTCTGTGGTAACGTCCTGACTGCAGTAATGGGTGACACAGGTGGAATCTCATAAGGGACATGAGTGCAAGAAGGCACGAAAGCGAGGCTGAAGACTTTCTATCGAATGCTTCCAAACCTCTAACAACAATTCATATGAAATGTGATCGAGACTTGACCGAATAGTTCCGAAATAATTCGGCGCCGAGTAAGAAGTAGATATATGTAAAAACTGTATTTGTAAAGTCTCACCGAAAGTGAGAAGAGTAATTCCAGTCTTTCCTTCCCCAAACTGGTCCGAACTTCTTCCATCCACTGACCGATCGTTAAAGTGTTTGACAGCCGAAGAGGCACACGTCATAAGACACAAAATTACAGCTATACTACTTAATCGGAAGCCATATGCGCCGACTATGAGCAAAAGCGAGCAACTGGCATTAAAACAACTGCAGAAAGATAAGTTGATTGTCATTACAAAAGCAGATAAAGGCAATACCATGGTTGTTATGACCTCTGTAGATTATGGAAAGAAAGCTGTTGACCATCTTAATACCGAACCTTATGGAAAAGTCAACATGACAAAGTCAATGGCGACATTGAATAAGCTGAAGGCTGAAACAAGCAGAATGTTACAGTCAATAGAAGAGAAACTAGGTGTATCACTTTGGTTTACTCTGGCTCCAAAAGGCTGCAGTCCCAGTAGATTTTATGGATTTAGATATGATAGAGAAGATTTGTATCTCAGGTGGATGATTTTGATGTAATTGTGTTCTCTGAGCTGGACAGTTAATTTGCGAAGCTTTCATCACCCTACTGGGTGACATCCTCACTTCAATTTGAAGTGAGCTTTTAGATTTCTCCACGAGTTTATTAATCATCTCCCCCGGTGACCTAGGGCGTGATTGGTTGTTACTTGTATTATCACTTGTTACTTGTATTGTCACTCATTGTTTCTTTGACTTGAACT